TAATCTCGAGCACAGTGGTCGTGCGGAAATGGTGCCATCCATGTGAAATCCCCTTTATTCGGTAAAACACAGAATTACCAAGGGCGGGAAATAATTTATTTACCACAAGTTATTCGTCAAAAATTCGAATTTTGTAGGAAATTAGTAACAGATTATTACCAGGCGGGTGTTACCCTATTACCGAAGCCATAGTCATATCAGAACAGATTCCTATCATGTAATACGATTTTAAAAAAACTTAATGTGCTTCAGATATTCGGTAAAACACTGAATTACCAACTTGACTTTACCAAGCGCGGAAAATAATTTGTGTGCCACATTCATCAAAAAATTTGAATTTTGTACGAAACAATTACCAGATTACTACCACGCTGGTATTACCCTATTACCAATTCGATAGTCACTTCACAATAGATTTCTACTGTATAAAACAATACAAAATATCACTTAATGTCCCTCACATCAATGATTCCACATTGTGAGTGAAGTACCCCCCAGAGGGAAGAAATCAACCTCCGTCTTCATTTCATAGTTTTCTGGTCTCCCCTACTCCATTATTTCCCAACGGTGAGAGATATTTTATTTTACTTGGCACCGCAACAAAATGCAGTCTGGACACGAATAAGGCAATAAGTATCTTGGAGATGATGATGCGCTTGGCGTGAGATGAGAAACAAAGGAGAGAAAGTATCAAAATCAAGGATAGATATTTGTGGTGAAAGTCGCAATTCGCATCTAACCTTCTCACAGTGTGGCGTTTATTTACAGGACGACTGACTACGCCAAGTTGGGTTTTGTACATAAAATCAAGACGGATTAAATAAATTGGAAATATATAAATTGGAAAAGAAGGGTATTTTTCTGAGAAAAATTTCCTCAAATTTTGACTAGTTTTCCTAAAAAACATAAAAGAGAGTAGAGAAATAGAATGGAAATACATTTTTTTAAGAAATAAAACTTGCAAAATATCATCTGTGTATAAAAGATGGAAATTCTGACTGAAAATGAATCATAACTCGTGGCATCATCACAATAGTCTCGTGTTCATCAGGGCGACATAACTCGAGCCAATCTGCCTGACACCTGCTTGGCCTTTTGTAAATCTGGGTGGCCGGATTTTATGTAATACCATTCCATAAAATCAAATGAGACGAAGCAGGTGAAGTGAGACCTTGCCCTTCACGTCGTCATCTCTCTCACTCTTCTCTCCTCCGTTGGAGAAAGTCAACTTTGTTTCATCTCATTACGCCCACTGACAGGGCTGATCATCCGCCTGTGTCCTTATTACGTACACTCTAAATAAGTAATAAAACCTCCCACGAGAAACTTTCGAGAATTGAGCAGAATCCTGCTGTTCAGAAATTTCAATCAATTTTAAATTGACAGTCAAAAATTATTTCTCGAAAAAAACGTTTTTTCTCACAATCAAAAAATCCACCCTGGATTTTTATATTTCGAGTGGAAAAATAAAAATCCTATGCGACCAGGAAGGAAATATATAATTTAATAAAAAACAAACTGCGAATTGTAACACAACACTTAAATTGCACGTAGGGTTCAACTAATTTGACATTTTTTGTGAATGCTTGAACGCAGTAACGTTATTTTACGGTATCACGATATAAATGAAAATTTTGAGGTTTGTAATAAAATTGGGAAGAACATGTATCAAAAATTTTATCCTAACTAAGCCCAAAAGGTGGAGGGAACCAACATCAGCGAAATTCTTCCCTCACCGAATTATTAAGAGAGCCGTAGAATTCCTGGCAGTCAGGGATAAGCCAAATTCTCATTTCTCTCGCTAGCACTATTTATATTTGATATGCAATCACGGCCTGTCACCAAACGTCTCGTCAGTTGAGATGAAGCCCATGAAGATGATGACGATGTTTCAATTTTAACCAATTTATTTTGTCCTTGTTCACGTCAACAATGTCTTCTTGTCTCGCGGATTGGACAGATTTGGCAAAATATTGCAAAATATCTCTGTAAACAGTGTGGTGACGAAATTTACACGGCTGACCTCGTTGGTGAATGCATTTTCCAGTGAGTTCTATTCACTTGTACGCTGGTTGCATTTCTTGCTCCGCTACAATAAACCTGATTTCCAATTCCTTCAACTTTAGGACGCTGACGTCGTCGAAAAATCGCCAAAAATTGGTCAGTGTCGTCCTTTGATTTGCACGACTCGTTCATTTTTTTGAAATTCGTCCTTGATTTTAAAAATATATATTTTTACAGATTGGTGAAAACATTAATGGCAAAGACAGCAATTCAGGCCGTCCTTGCAGCTTACCCTCGCTTCAAATTCAACTTTATTTATGTCTGGAAAATCAAAACTAATTGCAAACCAGGCAATCTCGAAAGTCTATTATTTTCTGTATTACAGATACTCAAACTTCGTTTTACCACCCTTGTTTTCTTGCTTTGTAATCAAGTTCGACGTAACATGAAATTAGAGGTCTAAATAAGAAAGTCTTCAAAATCTGAAACAATTACAGTTTCATCAGCCAATCCAATCCAGAAACCTTGTTATTTTCTGTATTATATATTTTGTTATTGATTTCACCCTTTGGGGGCCGTACCGAAAGGATGCCCAATTTTGGCCTGATTTACTTCGTAATCTTTCCAAATTTCAAATTTTTTTATAGTCAAATTTTCAGAAAACATACTTTTTCGTAAAATTCAAACTTAACACCTTATTCAGTTCACAAATTATCACATCATGAAGGTAATTCATCCTATTTTTGTAACCCAGTAAACCACGCAAGTTTTATAGAACAAGCTAACTCTACAAACTTTTTAAAACTTCACATTCAATCCTGCAAGTTTACAAGAATGGGAAGCGTATCTAACCTGATTTTCCATCGCAATCTTCCCAAACTTGTGGACATGTTTGTAACTTTCGAAAAGAATACAAAGTTCCCATCCACCTCAAAAACCTGGGTAAACTAACATCCTTCTAGTTCATCCCTTCAAATTGAATCCCGTCTCGAATTCAAGGACTGCAATGTGTTCACAAAATCCAAAATAATTACGACACACAAGCAATCTCGAAACCTTGTTATTTTCCGTATTACTTCATTTTCTTGTTGACGTTATTTCCTCTAATCAGCGAGAAAACAACAAGTTGGAGACGTGCACAGAGCATGTAGCCCATTTTCGAAAAATTTTGAATTTTGAAAATTTTGAAATTTGACCCATGGTTTTCATGTCATTGTTAACATGGGAGACTAAATGAAGCCTTAGCCTCCTGAAATCAGTAATTCGCTTCATGCACGGCCCCCCTGAGGAGAAAGACGACATTTTTTTTTTGATATTTAGCATGATTTATTTAATCCAAAAAAGAGTTTTAAAAACACATAATTTTCATTATAAACTTGTCAGACCCCATTGCACATGGGAAATTACCTGATCAAGCCAGTCAGTCCTTTAGTTACAAATATTTCAACTAAGGTACAAGTACATACATACCTAAAATTAAGTATTAGAGTAAGAGAGCGGTTTAGAAGTGATGCTGGATAATTAATCAACGAATATCAGTTAACATAGCTGGACTTCAGTTTCTTTTGAAAACAGCGTAGCTTGACTCGAATTTTAGCTCTTCGTTTAAACCATTCCATAAATTTACACCAGCAAAATTAAAAGTATTTAGACCATGAGAGGTCCTCGGTTTAACAGAGCTAACCAGAGCATTATGAGATCTTCTGGTGTCATGATTGTGAACATCACAAATTTTGGTAAAATACTCGTCAAAATATGGAACAGAAATATTTTTAATTATTTTAAACATTATACATAGTGTCCTAAAGTCACACAAGTCTTTGGGAAACATCCACTTTAGTTCATTTTTTATGTCTGAAGCCACTGGATCAAACTTACGTTTGGACAACACTAATCTAGCAAGGGACCTTATAACTTTTTCAACAACACCTAAGTATCTATCGTATGTTCGACCCCATACACAAACCATATAGCTACAAATTGACAATACCACTGCCGTACCAATAATTGCGACATCAAGAAAAGAAAACAGCAATTTATTCCCTTCAAGTTTCAAGGTCCCTCCGGATGGGATTTTGGCTGGATGCGAGCAATGCAGGCAGGCTGGCTTAAGAGAAAGTAAGATAACGAGAAAGGACGACTAGCTTTGTTAAAAAGGGGTCTGCACTGAAAATGTGAGGGGTTTGTTTCAAATGTAAATATCTAACTCGGTAATAAATTGTTATTACGTGGTAACAGATATTTTCTAGTCATCCATCCTAGGCACAAATTGATACCAATGTAGTGTTAGTTCGTAACAAATTTAAATTTGTTGGCATCATAATTACAACAAATTTGCAAACAATCTGTGGCACTAATTCTGATTTTGTAGCTTTGTTTTCATGTAAAAATTTCTAAATAATTTACACAAATAATTTATTTTAAATTTTGATATAGCAACGCACATAATTTCTTCAGGATATATATCTCACTGTTTGTGAGCAGGATTAAAGCCGTAAAGAAGTACGAAACGAAATTCGTAAAATAACCGTAATGTAAATACAATTTGCAAGAGAGCTAATTACGTAGAAAATAGTTAAGTATTAGGATAAGTTAAGCGTCCTTAAAGGAATATTTTGAAATACTTTTGGAAGTACGCATACAGTTCAGGTCGCATTCTTGACAAATGAATTTTAAACATTTTATCCCAACATGATAACGGTACGATTCAGAAATGAACGTTTAAAAAATTAATTAATTGTTTAAAAAATCAATGTGAATACCCCCAGAATTTTAAATATTTTCCAAATTTTCCATTTAATTTTCGTATTAAAATACATCAACTTCACAAACTTTGCGCACATTTCATAACTTTTCAGATACGCCAGGAAAAATGCATCAGTGCATACCAACCTTCAATACTTTGAAATTTCCAAAAAAATTAGGATTTTCAATTTTTTCCAGTATTTTTTTCCCCTTTCTCCATGCACTCAATTAATTAATGAACCAAAACTAACCCAGCATGGTCGGCGAAATCCTCACGATTGGGAGCACCACGGGAAACACGACGGATGGGAGTGGTGGGGGTGGGGGAATTCGTGGAGGAGGCGCCTTGTCATCAGGATTCGGGCCCAGCGCGGGTCGCGCGTCACTCGCGCGAAATGGCGGGATGGTCAAACTTTGAGATAAATCACTCCAGCACAAAACATATAGTAAAAAGATCCCACTAATTCCCAGATTTCCGAGTAATTTCATGATTCCGGTGAAAACAAAGGTATCTTCTTTTCATAAAAATTTCATAAATTATTTTGCAACTGGATCAATTTCTTAGTGGAAAGGGTCAAATTTCACGTTATCTATTATAAATTTCCACTAATTTCTAAATTTCCACTTTCCGTCACTTTCCGTCATCCGCTATCTTATAAAATTCCTGCAACTAAACAAATTCTATAAATTTCTTTGTCGCCGTCGAACTTTGTTTAAATATCACAAATTACACTTTCTCAATTTTTTCAACAGTGTTCCAACCAAAAAAATGTTTTTTGATGTTAAAATTTTCTCTTAAATTTTTAACTTGGCATTTACTAATTTTAAGGTTTACTCTTCACCTATTAGTTAAGCAGCTTAATTAATGTTCCTAAATTCACTTCATCTACGTCAATCTGAAGCCCCACTTCACTCCGACTTTCACTTTGATATTATTATTATTTCAATAATTCGAAATTATATTCAATCCGATTACAGGAGAGGTTTACGTTGTCTCTTTGTCCTACTTCTGGAGTGGTTGTTGATGTCACTTGTTTAAATTAATGATGACAAAGGCAACTCGAATTTGGGAGGATGAGGAAAATCCGAAATTAATGAGAAAGCATGTGCTCTAAATTCTTGTGTAAATTCTCAAAATTCTATCTAAACCCTTGGAGGATCCTTGTCTTAGATTTTGAGAACGTTCACGAGTAAAATTTTGGGGAAGAGAATGTGCCAAATTTCCACGTAAAAGTTAAATCGTAGACACACTTTCACTTTAAGTTCACAAGGATGAAATTTTAGTGAATACAATTTTTGTGTTCAGTTTCACAGAAAATTTCGATTTCAAAGATAAATTGCTATAAATACAATTTGTTTTAGTTATTTTCACCGAAATTGTTACACAAGCGATCAAATTTCCACTCAAAATGGTCTATTTTATTTTTTTAAGAAGGGAAAAGTTTATAACTACTTTTCTGCTCAATTTTCCAAAAAAACTTTCCAATTCGATTTTTTCCCGATTTTTTGTATTCGATTTTCTATTTAAGTTCGTCTTTAATAAAAAGCGGTTAAAATTTCAGGTTTTTTACTTCCTCTGAAATTTCAAAAACCCAGCTAAAAGTTGAATCTTGCTCACTTTCACTGTACTTTCATTCACAATGAAACCGTTATAAAGTAAATTCCCAGCTTAGATTTTCGAGTATTCCTCAAAAATAAAATTTCCACCTTACTCTTTTTTGAACTTTTTCCAATTTCTAAGTTTCCAATTTCCCCTCAATTTCCAAACCCGTCACATCGCCACCAGCTACCCAAACTAGATCAACATTCTCCCCCGTAAAAGTCGAAACTCTTGCCAAAAACTCTTGTGAATTCGGATCACTCGAATTTCTCTCGTATTCTAAACGTCGAGCAAATTTGGAACGTGCTCACGACTCGTGTCGACTTCCCAAACTGGAGAGGATGTCGTCTCAGTGAGGAATATTTATAGCGAAAGGGAGAGAAATCTACTCCAGCAGCAGCTTTCTCCAGAGATGCAGCATCTCTGCTCCAACTTTCTCTATTTTCCTCAAGGACTCGTTTTCCTTCTCTGGCACTCTTAATAATCCGGTAACAATTTAACACCGGGATGTGCTTTCTCCCATTTGAATTTGTCAAACGCTGTAATTTTGTCTATATTTGATACCGAATTGTAACACTTATTTACCCCAAAATTCAAACTAGTTATCGACGTGTGATCAATTACAACCAAGTTTAGCACAAACTATTACCAAACTTTGTTACCAAACGGTAGCACTATTTCCTACCGAAATCATAATACTCCACAAAATAGCAATTTTACCAAGAAAGATGTGGTCACCGCTCGGTAATAAAGAAGATCCCTAAATTTTTTAGCGTGTCCCTGGACCGGAGCGCAGGCCAAAGGGAGAGGCAAGAAAATAACCAAAGTATCGACCACACTGGCAGCAACTAGACCATGCACGCACTAAAGAGCATGCAGCAGTTTCCTTGGTAAATACGCGGACCGAAATTTCCTATAACAAGGGCAAGAAAACTGCCGTAAAGGCAGACGAGACATATCTACGGACCGATATCAGCCTCGTTTTTACTATTATTTGATTTTCGCCAACACAAATTCCCTTCTAAATTGAGTCAATTTTTGCACAGTTATTCAATGCGGAAAGATAATATTGCAAAAAATTCAAAGGCCATACACTCCGTAAACTTTATAAATTTAATAAAATTCCCTATACAAGAAGCTGCACGCAACCCCGTTATTGCAGCCATGTTACATTTTTTATGCAAATTTGGAATCAAGTAAAAACTCCCCAGAGTGGAAAATGTGATCGTAAATAAATGCCATGAGTTATTAAAATGCCAATTCAAAGAGTAATAAATACACAATTTACGAAGACATAAACACGTCCTTCATAAAAAATGCGAGATGCGGGTACTTAGCTTTAAATAAAATGATGATTTCCATCTTCTCAAGGTGTCTCACTTTCACTTCTCTCCACGTTTTTGTTTTATTTAACAAAACGAGACATGCCGACAGACATGATGAGATGGCATGACAAGAAAAGGTGCGTTTTCTTCCTCCGCTATTTTTATTTTATTTTCCTCGAGAGTGTGAAGCATGCAACTCTTAAAAAAATGAAAGTGCTCTCCATACTTTCTCCCTCCTCCTTTGTTTCATGGAGAGTTTTAGGCTTCCTCTGAAGGGCAGGCTTTGTTTTCAGGCTGGAAAACAATGTGCGTGCAGGACCACTTCATTTTTTCTGGCAGGGTTTCGTTGAATGGGTGGAATTTTTTGTGGTGTGGGCGAAATTTATATTTTTAACAGAGTAGATGACGTAGTTTATGCAAGGTTTCTTAAGTAAATTCATGCTTGTAATGTAGTAAAGTTTGTAAAACATGTAGAATTAGAAGTTTTGACACCAGAATTTTAACTGAGAATGAGGTGAGAATGAGGTATAAAAATTTGTGTTTTTTTAACAGAAATTTTTGTTGGATCCAAATTTCTAAAATTATTTCGTGAAAAAAGTTGCATAGTAAATTTATTTTTTAAAAATTGTATATACTATTTGCTAAATAAACAGACTGTCCCTGATTCCAAATTGATTTCGTTTTACGTAACCTAAGAACATGTTGGTAAGGAATTTGTCACACTCCGATAAGAACCTTTGTGGTGCTAATCTAATCGTAAATGCATTGTTTTCATTTTGCTTTAATAAAATCTTTGAAGCATTTCATCCACGCATTTCCTCTTGCATTGTTCATGGTGAAGATACGATGGGAACATAGGAAGCACTGTTTTGGTAAAAGTCGTTTCAGGCATGATGCCGAATATTGTCTGGGGATTACATAACCCGTGCCAGCCCAAAATAAAAGAACAGACGGGGTTTTAAAGACTTACACTCTAAATAATTCTGAAAAAATGACTGGTCACCAATTTGTTTCACGATTGGTAAAAAATTTAAAGTTCGCGGTAAACGCTTATTTTATTACCAGATTCAAGACCAGCCGGTAACTAATTCTTCGCAAAATTTTAATACTTGCAACGAAATTAAAATTAGTTGGTTATGAATTGGTAATAAATTAAAACCAAGTATTTAAATATTTGGTAACAACTCGGTAATAAATTACTACCGCATTATTCAGTGAGCCTGAAAAGATGGGAACGCTGAAAAATGAATGAATAATAACAACAAAACTAAAACAAAGCTTTTCAAGTGGAAAATCTGTTGTGCTTTCGCTGAGCTGTTGCCGTTTTTAGAACGTGTCGGCTTCCGCTTCTGTGTTATGTATCTTGCCCATTCAGACTTTTGGCTCGGATGAAATCTAAACTTAAACAGATGGAGAGAAACGAAAGTCCTTTCTTGGGTTGAAGAAGTAAAGATTTGATGAAATAATTTTGTCCCTTTGTGTGAAATTATTTTGCAAATTGTCACTGACAATTTGTCACCAACTTTATATTCAAAAATAAGTTGGCAACAAAATTGTTGTCTGATATGATTTTACGCATTCTTAAGGTGGCTTTGTATGTGGGTTTTGAATTTAAGTTTTTGTGTCTAAACTTTCTTTTCCATGTATTGAAATGGCGATTTTGAAACATATTCAGTTAATGCTAAAGTTATTCAGTTAATATTAATGCAGATTTTATTGCATCCGAAAATCGATAATTTTTAAGTTATGAGGTTATAATTTTGATTTGTTTTCATGAAAAAAATATTCAATTGTTGTTATAATTTTGTATCTATTTTATTTCTAATTTTCAGATGGAAGTAGAAAAATCCAAATAATAGCTTCCCAAGTTTTCAAACAATAAAATTGTCGATTTGTAGATGCAATAAAATCTTCATTTTTTGCGAAACGCGAGATGAATAAATTCGAATTCAAAACCCGCATGCAATGGGACGTTAGGTAAATGCAAAACTATATGCTTCTCCTCGCGTATTCATAATTACTGAATATTATTTAATAAATCAAACAAAATGCAGTTTTCATGTCGTCTCGTGCTGGCAGTGTTTTTATCCGTCTGCTTGGAAAGTCTAATGGCACCAAGTGTCTTGGAACGATGTGGGACATCTTCTGCATAGCAGATTTGCACAAAAAATCACATAAAAATCAATACTCTTGCAAAATTTGGCATAGTTTACCCTTCCACGCTGTCCATACTAATGCACTAACTTCTTACTTTGTTTAACTAACGGGCTAACAAGATCGTCTCCACTTTATAAATTAGACTTTCACTTTTTGGGGGCAAAATCCGCATAATTTTTGGGGATTATATAACGGCCACTTAAAACCAGGGTTCTTAAAACACCGCCAAGTTATACATCCAACTAGGTAAATTTGCTTAAAAAATTAGTGCATGCATGGAAAATAGGAGAGAAAAACCACATTTTTCTTATAGCTAAAAAAGCGTATGATGTTTCACTTCGATAAGTTTCCAGTCTTCGCAATCTCATTTTGTGTTCCCTCAATTCTGTAACAAAACCGAGTTCTGGCACAAAAAATGGAACCCTACTTGGATGGAAGGCATGCCAAGTCACACTTTCCTCGTAGAATTGAATGACCCCGTTATGACGATAACGGAGAGTAAACGGCTGCCCTATTAAAAATGTAAATATCCACGTTGTCCATTATCTACACTCTCTAAGGAAGTATGTAAGTTGGTGACAAAAGCGTTACCAGCGGGGTAATGATTTACCATTTCCTGAATTTATCTTGAAATTTGAATTTTTTAAGAATATTTTGGCACGAGTAAATTAAAACCCATTTATTTACCAATGCATTTTGGCGCGTGTAAAAGTTCGGTAGAGTAACAAATGCTTGTACAATTTTTTAAAAGTTACGAAAGAAAAATTTATTTTAAAACTGGAATAAATTCAAGCATTTTGGAATAGTATTTTTTTAAAGTTTATACAGTTTACTGGGTTACAAACATTAGAGCCAAATTGCCTGTGTTTCCTCTTATAAAATTGTTTCCACATATTTTCCAGAGTGCGATAAGGATACGGGTGCCTTTTGTAGGGCCCAATTGTATAATTTTGGTTATGCATAGTACCTAAAATTATAATTTTTTAGCATTCATGTAAGTTGTCTTTTTGGGACGACTAAAATATGTACCTTGCATAATGCAAGGAGCATATTTTCTCTCATAACTGGTAAAAAAAACAAGTACCAACTTTTTTCATTTCATGCAAAATACTTACACTGAGGGGATAAATTGTCCGTCACGGTTTAACATAGCTATATCTCGTACAATTTCATAGATATCAATTTGAAATTTTGCATAGTTGTAGACAATCGCATTTGTGATGAAATTGGACTCATAGGTTGAAAAAATAATGCAAAGGTCAAAGGTTACGATTTTTTGACCTAAAACCTCAAAAGTCAGCTACATCAAGAAAATTTTTTTCTTGGTATTTTTATTTTTATAAAGTTAGGGCAAGTCATCCTGAGCATTTTGATATGTTGGTCACCTCTGTGCGATTTTTTTTGTGCCCACAGCGATTTTTTGAAAAGTGATGTTTTGAAAAGTTATAACATTGGGCTTACGGGAGAAAATCTCAAAACATCACTTTTCAAAAAATCGCTGTGGGCACAAAAAAAATCGCACAGAGGTGACCAACATATCAAAATGCTCAGGATGACTTGCCCTAACTTTATAAAAATAAAAATACCAAGAAAAAAATTTTCTTGATGTAGCTGACTTTTGAGGTTTTAGGTCAAAAAATCGTAACCTTTGACCTTTGCATTATTTTTTCAACCTATGAGTCCAATTTCATCACAAATGCGATTGTCTACAACTATGCAAAATTTCAAATTGATATCTATGAAATTGTACGAGATATAGCTATGTTAAACCGTGACGGACAATTTATCCCCTCAGTGTATTTACTATAAATGTGCAAATGACATATGTTGACAAGATTAACATAGGTTTAAACGGGATTTTGCAATGACAGATTAATTTTTCTATTCGTACATTAACATATTTTTCTGAATAAATGTGGTTTATTTACTCTTAAATCATGGTACTGAAAATTTGTTAAAGTTTGACGACACAAATGCAGTTTGCAAATTATTTTTCACCATTAAAATTGATAGATTTCACAATAACACGTGCTTTCACTCCTGGAAATAATCCTGGTCTAAATCTGACTGTCTCTTCTTTCTCAGAGAGTTATCAGTCTCCACATCAGAATCGATGTCTGCACCTGAGATTATTATTATTTTCATTTTTATGCACAAAATAAAATAAAATTTGACAATGTAAGTTTTTCATGTAAAAATTTCGAAATAGTTCAGATTTTAGCTAGGATGTTAAGCCAAATTATCTCAACTTTACCCCGAGATTAAAACATTTGTAAATTTAATTAATTTCAGGCTAAACATTTTTCAAAATCTGACTAAATAATTCGTTTTTTTTTCGTTTTTTCCACCCAATTTTTTTTTCTTTTCGAATTACCGTCATCCTCAGTACCATCGTCATCAGTGTCAGGATCACTCCCGTCGCCGCTATCGTCGTCATCCTGCGAGTGGACACCCGTCGCAAAAATTGCGACCGTCACTCCAATCGCCAAAAGCCATAATGTAAATCGACTCATTTTTTTGTCGAAAAATAATAAGAAATAATAAAAAACGTGTGTTCAAGTCGGATTACAATTACAAACTGCGTTACTTTCCAGTGGGATAGCAAAAAACTGGTTATAAAATTCATGGAGGAAAATGTTGCAAATTTTAGCTACGCCATTGACCACATCCAATTTCCTGGATGAGTGGATTTTCAGCTAATAATCCACATTAATCTATTTAAACCAAGTAAAAATTATTTATCGCCATTATTTTAATTAACGTGCATTTAACCAGAATGACTCTCAAATTCCTGTACTAATAAGTATGACAGTAAAATACCTAAATAACTAATAGCTTTAAGATTTCATATGTATTTCCAGATTGGTGATAAAGCTTTACCAATTTTATTAATAAATGTATCCGTCCAACATTTTGGGTAGCAAGTTTGAAAGTTTTGAGGAAAATATTTTTACCATTTTATTAAAAATCTGTAGAACCATATATTTAGCACCTGCATTGGGTAGCACTTTTATTATCTGCATATTTGAGTGTAACGGGAAACCCAAATAATTAATAGGCACTGTGAAACATGGTCAAATACATAAAACAAAAATATACGCAGAAACATATCATGACACAATTTTCAACACCATGGTTGGACACAATCGAATAACAGGAAAACCAAAAGGGAGTAATACGTATTTTCGTAAAAATGATATATATTGAGTCCTCCGAGGAGCATTGTTTTTGCGGTTTGTGGCTTCTGTTTTACTAACGATCCTGCAAAAAGGAGCGTCATAACCCATTTTCCAACCTCCCCTCAAATACCGAGTATAAAAAAGCTCCCGTACTAACTCCAAATGCGTGTCAACTAATGAAATTTAATGGAAGAAATTTTTTTTTAAATTAGGAATTTGTAAAGGTTTAAAACTATTCACGAATGTAATTTACACGTTTCCTCGAGTTTTTCATCGATACTTGGCCATTTGCAAAATTGTTAACAAAAATCAACTACATATTTAAGAAAAAATATCTCATCTATTGTTGTTTTCTCATAAAATTATGGAAATTTTGATATAGCATATTCCGCCTCAAAATTAACATTTTGTGCAAAAATTAATTTTGTGCAAAATTTATAACTTCACGATTTGTGAATCACAAATAAAAATTGCTGAATTTAGCCGTCAAAAAGTAAAATTATACAAAAATTTTGTCTACTTAACAATATAAGATTTAAAAGACTTAATAATATAAGACTTTGATAAATAAGGCTAATTTGTGACAAATTTCATATAGCTAACAAATTAAGTATATTAACAAAACTTGCAAAATTGACATGATTTTGCAAAACAAACCTTTTTTCCTCCTATTTTTCATATTATTTATACAAAAATCTCCAAAATTCGACAAACAGTAGTCTCACCAAGACAAATACTGGAATACTAAATTCTTCTCAAACTGATCTCATTATATTCCATATTTGTAAAGTTTTCAATATAAAAGTACTCAGAACCCAAAAAAATGTCAAAGACGTAACCCCCTTAGCCGTCTTTGTCGCCCACTTTCTTTTATGTTTTCCAAGAAGAAAAAATCGTAGGAATAAAAATAAATATACATCATTTAAAAAAATTGTGCAAACAATTCGGTCTGAAACGACAATCAGATCAGGAAACATCTCAAGCCTTTAAACTAACGAGGAAAGCAATGATGTCGACAAGATGGAGAAAGGAAGAGTAAAAATAAAGCCAAAATTGAATTCTATCCGCTCTCTCTGTTTCCGAAAGCTTCGCCACCTGCCACTTCTCACGTCTCGTCTCCTCTCAGTCGGAGTCGTAATAAGGAATTGAAATATAGATAAAAGATGCCACCGAGTTGGGCGAGGTCGCACGTTAAGGACGTCAAATTGTTACTCCGTCCGATTTTTGCACTGATTTTAGAACAGTTATCTCCTGAGTTCAAATAACAATAGAAATCAAAGTTGAGTCGATTGGGCACGTTGTCTGATCCGGCCAAACCGAATTTGAATTTTTCGGGTGATAATATAACCATCCGACCGAATCCGAATTTTTCGGGTGAGGAAATATCTATCCGAACCGAATCCGAAGTTTTTAGTGAAAAAAATATCCATCCAAACCGAATCCGAATTTTTTGGTTAAAAAATAGCCACCTTAATCCAATAGGATTTTTTCGGATTAAGAAATATCCAAACCGAATGATTTGGATTCTGTTCGGATAGATACTTTTACCCGAAAACCGGATAACTGACTCTTATCGAAATCCTAAACAGATTTCGGCATCAAAAAGTATGTATTATCAAGAAATTACACTGATAACGTTATGAATTATCCTATCAAATTTACCACTCTGCACTAATTTACCCACCACCCAAGTGGATCACATCCTAGGTGGCCGACCCCTTCAAGTCGACCACCGATTTGACTTGACATTTAGCCTCGGAGCCAGAGAAAGTTTGAAATTGAATTGGAATCCAAATAAATATAAATGCAATTCTCCTGTCTTAAATGTCAATCTGATCTACTCAACTCCAACCCTTTACGTTAAACTTCTCTATACTCGCACAAATTCTTGTTCTCTATTTTTTGCAATGAAATTCTTCAACTACAAGAAGCCCAGATTTATTCTATTCTCCGAGTTATCTTGCTGCGTGTTGGTGCATCTAAACATCCAACTGTCCAACTGTCTCGTACACTAAATTGGCTTGCATTTTTTTGTAGGAAATACTTATCAAAAAAGATACAACGAAAACTAATTTTATAGCAAAATTGTTACCGTGTATAAATATATTTAAGGATGTACCGCGTTGGTAACGAATTATTACTGAAGGATGATAATATTTCTGTGAAAATCAAATTTACCACCATGCACTGCCCATGTCATGGTGGGAATGTATAGTCACATGTGGTGGCGGGAATGTGTACTTGCGTTTTGTAATTTTGAATTAAAATATTTTTAACTAAAATATTCAAAAAACATTTTTTTCGTGTAAACTCTAAGGTTTTATAAAATAAATTAAATTATTTTTGAAACTTGAAGAGATTTTGAATTGCAAATTCCAAAACTCAAAATATCAAAATATGAAATTTATTTATTTATCAAACTATGAAATCGTCCGTAACAGTCCTTTATACACGATTCCTCACAAAATATGAACGTTCACGTGACTCCGTGCAATGACATATCAACGTAAGATTTTACGACGCCATGTGACGACACGGTGTCTGAAGGAGAAAGCAATCCGGTGAAAGTATTACGACATTGTGTCACGGACCTTGCCTTTGAGCAACGCCTTATCTCTCACTTCGTCATCATTTCCCACCATATCAAAATAAAGTGGCGTGATAACTATAAAATAAATGGGAATGCGGCACATCTCATTAAACGTGAAGGGAAGATACGATGGTGATCAGAGCTACCTACATTTTTCCAAGTCTAGAAAACTGTTTTCAATCCTACCTGAAAAATAGGTGGAAACTTGAGGTAAATGTAAAAATTTGATAAATTTAAGTTGAAATATTTATAAAATTTTTTAAAAAAATCATGGATTTCTTTTCTAATTAAGGATTTTTTTAACAAATTAAAAAAGTTAGAGGGATAATTGTTCACAAAAATATAGTTAGTCCACAGGCTTTCTAAAAACTAAGGATAAGTCTAATAACGATATTGTATTTTAATATTTTTCAATGTGAAAGTTTTCACTAAAGACTTACAATTTTATAGATTTTCAAGCATTTCCTTGAGCATGTAAATATTGTTGTTATACAATTTTCTTTGAATACCTATTCCTGCACAATTTGAGCAATTGACAAACCTAAAAAAATTGTAATTAAAAATTGTAATTAAAAATTGTAATTAAAAATTGTAATTAAAAATTGTAATTAAAATTGATAGATTTTGTAGTCGAAAATTAAAATGTAAAACGCCAATTAGATTTTACGTTTAACTAAGGTACAAAAATGTAAAACGCCAATTAGATTTTACGTTTAACTAAGGTACAAAAATGGCTATTTCTACAGGAGAAAAAATGTATAAATTTTTACATAATTCTTGTCCAGAGAAATTTTGCAGCACTAAAATTAATTTGTCGTTCAATTGTTCTTCGTAATTCGAAACCCGACGATACTTTTGTAATCATCGTAGTGTCTATGGATATTTGCATATATGTCTGATTTCTTAATTCCTTCGAAATATAGTCACCTTCCCCTTATCGTAAATTGAAATATGTTTAATTCTCCAATATTCTTAACCTCGCAAAGATTACTTGGTTCCAAAGATCCAACTGAATTGCTGCAATAAAATTTCAAATTACAGCATTATGCAGTTTCAGAAATACCTTTCCATCACAGCCCCAAGGACAGAGCAGAGTACATATAATATTACACAACTAATTTTCAAAATTTGACGTACATAATAAAAGAGACTATTCATAAAGGCTGGTCTATTTCCCCAATTTTGTACCGTCTAAAACCTACAAGTTTATGTCACCGTTATTACTGCGAAACCTTACTTATTGGTAATAACGCGACTTCATATACACGATTTAACGTCCATTTGACGATAGTCGCAAAAAACTGGGTGATGCACACAGGATATACGCTACTTTTCCAATCTCTCTCCTCTAAGGTAAAAACGGCCCCATCCTTTACGCACGTTCCTCTCAAACAACAATCGCAAACCCACCAGGATCTCATAACACAATGCGGTTTTTGATCTCTCCTCTTCTCATCAGGGTTCGGAATTTTGCACAAATGCCAAACCACACCAGACTCCACTTTGACAACACTTTGATGCCACTTTTCGTACACATTTGCCAAAAACAGTGCAAACATAACCATAACAATAATATTCTTACCGTTTCGTTTGGCACAATTGCTTTTCAACTAAACATTCCGTGCCGACAGATATGGACTCTTTCCCCACACTTAATGACAATCATAACCTACTTTTATCGAGTGGTGTTATGTTATCGTTCGTAACGATCTGATTCACGATACGGGACGCGGAACAAAAGTTGACGGAGAAAATTTGCGTCTTACCTGTAAAAAAAAGAAAAAAATAATTAATTTAATTTCGAAAATTATTAAATATGCGTGATT